GGGTCGAGACTGGAGTGAGATGGGTCAGAAATCCCGTGGTAATTCTCCAGGCACCCGCAATCGACGGTTTTTGTGAAGTTGCCTGATTCGGATGGGCCAACGGCGTGGTGCTAACTAGATGAGCTCTAGTGGCTTGGCATTTGCGCATTGCAAACTTGGGTTGCGACGCATGTCGAACTGCACGCTTTCATGTGCAATAAAACGCGATTTCTATGTTGGCTTTGTTTTCTCCAATTCTAGAGCATGACGCATCCATTCACATGTGATTATACAGATCGGTCACGCAATTTCGAAATGTTATGTTGAGATGATTCATTCGTCGTCTCTACTCGTGACCCTAGGGTATGGAGGGCACGCATTACTCCATCGACTACATCTTTCCTGAACAACAGAAGACAGCAAGCGCCAAATGACGCATTGCTTCCGCAGACTCGAAAACTTCGCCGTGGTAGGCGCGTCTCCATCTACGAGTCGTCGCCGATATCGACGACGGTCTTCTTCCACTTGCGGGCGGGAACCTTGCGCTTGAACAGAATGTCGATCTCGCGGTAAGAGCGGCCCTTCATCTCGGGGAGGAAGAAGTATGCGACGACGAAGCAGAAGAAACCGGTACCGGCCCAGACGTAACCGCACTTGCCGCCAAGGTTTGCCTCCTGGAATGTTCGTTAGCAAGATGTTCATTGTGACAATCGAAAAGAGAGAAAACTTACGTCGGGGTTAAGCATGTAACTGGCGAGGAAAATGCAAGGAATGTTGACAACGTAGTAAGCACCACGTCCGATACCGGTAGTGAGGGGCCTGAGACGAATGGACGAGGTCTCTCCAATAATGACCCAGGAAGCGGGCGCCGGTCCGAGAGTGAACAGAACGGAAACAATCAGACCCAGGGAAGCCTGGGCGAGAGAGGCTGCGTTAGAGACACCGACGGAAGCAGCGATACCAAGTGCGACAAGGAAACCGACGTTGATGAGGGATCCCCAGACGTAGATAGTGCGGCGGCCGAGGTAGGTGGTGAGAATCCAGGAGAGCATAACAAAGATCATCTGGAGAGCGGAGGTGATGAGACCAAGGGCGAAAGCGGTGTTGACCGAGATACCAGCTTGACGGAAGAAGTAGACGGCCTGGTTGGCGATGAGGTTACCAGTCAAATTCTGGGCAGCGTAAACACCGCAGACGATGAGAGTACGGTAGCGGTCGGTGCCCTTGAACAGCTCCAAAAGACTGGGCTCCTTGATGGACTTCTCGAGATCGATGGTACGGCGCATCATAGCGACGGCTTCGCTGAGGTTTAGCTGGCCCTTGCGTCCGAGACGACCGACGGCCTTCTCAGCTTGCTCAAGCTTGCCCTTGCGTACCAACCACCAGGGAGACTCTGGCGCCAGGTAGATGAGGATAGCGAGAGGAGTGGGGAACATCCATTGAAGCGCAATGGGGATTCTGTAGGCGCTTGCGTCGGGCTTGGGGTTGTAGTAGTACGCGACACCGTTGACGATGATAGCACCGATAGCCCAGAACATTTGCAGCATCTGAGTAGCCGGGGCACGGAGCTGGATAGGTGTAATCTCAGAGCAGTACGCGGGAGCGTTGGCAATGAAGATACCCCACGGGACACCCTCGAGAAGCTGGGACACGAACATGATTGGGAGCGAGTTGGCGAAGTAGAAAACGAAGATGAAGCAGTTGAGAAGCATCAGACCGGAAATGGTCGCCCATCGGTATCCGATGCGGCTGGTGAGAGGACCAGCCAGGCATACACCGATAATGGCACCAACGGGCCCTCCCATCTGAAGCGCTGATTGCCAGCTAGCCGCGATAATCTTGCCGTGTGGTCGGTCGGGGTCCGGGTGTGTGAGCGGGATACCGAATTCCTTCTCGAATGCGGGCAGAGCGATGAAGTTACCCATCAGGAAGACACAGTAAGCCTCCATGATCTGGAATGATTTGTTAGCAACCGCATCTTAATTCTAAGGGATTTGAGCGAGGAGCTTACAATAGTGCAAGACATGATGAACGCCCAGAGAGCAGCCATAGGGTAGGCCTTAACAGCCTGTACGACACCCATGTCATGCTCAGCAGTCTCAGCGTCCATAGCCTGCGTCTTGAACATAGCAGCCTGAGCCTTCTCGTCAAGCGCGACCGAGTCGTCGACATGCGAGATGGCCTTCTCGACGTGCACATCGCCGCCATATTCCTTAGGGACGTCACCCATCTTTGCGAAAGGGCTCTTGCCGGGGTATAACAAGAAAAAAAAGGACGAGGGGTATCAGATCAGAGAAAGGAACTCTGGGCTGGCAAAGAAGACAAAAGGATAAACCGGGGAAACGTCTCCACCTTATAAACAGCACGGGGTGCGCACACTCAACGCGGGGCGGCTTAAATGTGACCTTGCAGCAACGGCATTTAGGCATGGTTAGCCATCTGGTGTACAGTAGTCACCCCCGGGGCGCGCTTGAACCATCCACCCACCCCTCCACATCTCCGAGCGTGCATTGTCTAATTCCCCAGAAAGATGGAAAATCCGTCGCTGGCGACTGGTGGGTCCGCCGTCAGCGCTATGTGCACATGGAAGGAATGCACGAGACAGTTTCCATCAATCACGGCTTCTGGCTATCAAGCTGGTTCCTTGCGCCGTCTGCGCAAGGGCCTCCAAGCCGTGCGAGGCGGCTGTCACGACAGAGTCGTGCTGTGTCGCTACGCTGGCCTAGCAGCGGACCGCTCACCAGATGTATCCATAGCGCTGCGTGTTGGTTTGCAGGTGGCTGTTTCTTGTCTGCTCTAGACTTCGTATTGCTGGTTGCTCGTCACCTATCAGAACTGTCGATGCAAAGCTTTGTTCCGGTGCTAAAATACGCGCGCTAATATCCCCGCACCGCGACAGGCTTGTACGCTTGTTAACTGGAGTAGACCCGTTATTTATCCGTGGGCTCCCCAGATGGGTTGCCCTGCTGCTCCAGGAAATTTTTGGGTCTCTCCACTCGTTTTCTCCACGCTGGGGGGCTGGGGTGAGCACGAAGGGTCTGAGTTACACGGCATCTGCGAGTTCCACTGATATGAGCCGTCTGACCACCCCGTTAGATCTCGCTACCATGAGTATCGGATATGCCTCTACTCTTTAGGACCTCCACTTCGTGTCCAATGGCGCTGTTCATGCCGCCACTCTTCCTTCCCGCCCCATGGGGAGCTGTGGGAGCGGTATTGAATTACGTCGCGGTAGTGATAGCCCGAGAACACCGCACTCATTTAACCCCAGATACGGAACTCTGCCGGTGCAGGCGGGCGGATTGCAGAGTTGAGCCTGGTGTCTTCCTCTACGAGCTAGCCGTGGCGTGATGCTAATAAGTCTTGAAAACGTCCGCTGACGCGGAGCCGCCGCATGTGCGCAGATGGCCGCTACTACCACCGCTAGTACTTGACACGTGAAGAACCGCACGAGGTAAATGGGATAGGTACCGTGGTTTATCTGATGGATGACTGATCTTGGGTCCTTGCGCATATTTCGCTGCAGCGCGGGGGGATGTGACCGAGGCAAGGGAAGGTGGGTACGTTGCTTGGGACTGCGTGATGATGCTGCTGTTAGACCTGGAGCCAGGACCTTGGGAATTGACAGGCGCGCTCGACGTCTCCGACGCAGCGGCACAGTTTGGCGGGTATGCTGCGTGGCTTCCTCGTTCCGACTTGGTGACTGACATCTGTCGGACTGGGTCGCTTGAGGAAAACTTATTCTACATGAGTTAAGCTATCGTCGTGCAGTGTAGTACTTGGAGTCGCTTCAGCACATGGTGCGCGTAACAACGCGATTGCTATGGGCGTGCCCCTCCGCGCCTGGGTATCTCGATGCCACGCAGTCAGTACTGCTGAACATGCCAGTACACGATCTTTTGCATAAGTCTGCGAAGAACAAGGGACCGGTACAAAGATTGATCAGCGCAAACGGCCCAATACATTGGGTCGTACCAGTCGTATTCCATAGCCGTTCTTCCAATGTTCATGATGCACATGACCCGTTCCGAGGTTGCCTTCGACTGAATCGGCACCAGTGCCACAAGCGCATGTGCTGAATCAGTAGCTCGAAAAACGAATTCCCATCCACTGTTGCGAGGACAACTGTACCACGCATCACCAAAAGATTCAATTTTCATCTTGCCTACATGGAAAGCAAATACCGGGCAACGGTGCGCAGTCCGGCTCTCGGCACACCCAGCGTTTGCAGATCAGATGTCAATCCGGCCAACATTGCACTCCGTACATGGCGTATGTACTCGAGCCAATCCAAGCCGGCGGGCGCCGTGCTCTTACGACCGGGAGTATGCAGGGCGCCTGAGATGTGATGGGTTTGCGCACGACGGTAGGTTGGTGGCGCTGACATCACGGCTCGAAGAAGTAGAGCATCCTGCCTGCAGCTGCTACAGATGGGGGGAATAACCTAAGCGACGTGTTTATGGCCTCAATAATTCTTAGCGAATCTGACCGGATGTTAGGATATCGATCGGAATGAGATGTATGCGGAAAGACCTCGACGAAGAAGAGATGACGGCGAGACGACGCTCGAGTAAGCTTTCGCACATGCGGATGCGGCGCACACACATGACGGACCTGAGTGCTCCCGAGCGCCTCACAAAGGAACTGCGTCGTTGCTTCTCACAACCTCACGCAGCTACTTTGAAATCCAGTCTAGGACTTTGAGCTGCAACACAGATCCATGAATGCGCAATAGCTACACACGCAAAAAGAAGCTCGCACTGTTACTAGAGTAATTTTGACAGAAATCAACACAACGCCATCGCTGAACCCAAGACTCAAGGAACGATACTCTCCCCACAATCCGCCTCTCGTCCCACAAACCATCTTTCCCTCACGAACAAGTCCCATCACCCAAATCTCAGCGCACATCTCCAAAGACAAGCTCTTATGAGTTGGAGGAGCCGGACAGCAGCTATGATGATAACCAGATTTCGCGCCCCCATCGTCCATGTGTGCTAGTGCTAAGCAGCATCCTGCGCCTACATCAGTTGCTTAGGCGTCTTCCCATCCTCGTCTCTCGAGTTTATGCGTGCGCCATGTTCCACCAGCAGTTTCATGGCATCGGCTTTGCCAGTCGAGGCAGCAAAGTGCATCGGTGTCCAGCCCTTCCAGCCCGGAACGACCTCCTCCAAGTCCGCGCCATGCTTTATCAGCAGACGCATAGTATCGAGCTGACCGAATCTCGCAGCGGTATGCAACGCAGCAGTACCCGCTATAGGCGTTCCGCGTTCCAACAGCATCTCAGTCGTGCGCGGACCCTCAATCATGGCAGCGAAAGACATCAGAGACGAGCGAAAGTTTCCGAGTTTCTTGTAGCCCGGCGCAACGGGATGCAATGGATCTGCCCCAAGCTCGAGCAACGCGGCAGCTACATCTGGTTTCCTTCGCCTCACGGCCTCGTAGAGTGGCCGCTCGTGGCCGTGGCCGATGCGGATCTCAGTGACCTTCGGGTAGGCGGCGCCCAGTGCCTCGATGGCAGCGGCGTGGCCACCATCGATGGCCTTGTTGACGACGTCTCTCGTTACGATATCGGATAGGGGTATGCTAAGCTCTGTGGCGAAGGCAAGTAGTGCGGTCACAACAGCAGCGTGGCCATTCTGAGCCGCTACCATCAAGGTCCGCTCAAGATTCGGGATTGGTCTTGCCATGACCTTCCCACGGGAGGGGTCTTTATAATATATGGTGTGCGGCTTACTGAGCAGCGTCTCGATATGCTGTGGCTGCGATAGCAGACTCCATAAAGCTGTGTCGTCGCCAGACGAGCATGTTTCAATGAGACGGCGAGCGTCGTCCTGCCCTACGAGTACATCGCCTACATCTCTGGATGAGGTGTAGCCGGCGGGCAAGTCCTTTAGATCTGCCATAGTCGGTTCCGCCATAGCTGCGTCGTAATGGAGGTAATGGTAATGGTGATGGTGATGAAGATAGTAGGTTGTGCCGATGGAGACCGAGGAGATGAGAAGAGGTGGTGAGTGCGATTGTAGTAGCTGCAAACGGGACAGAAAGCGTGAATGTAGCGAGTGTAAGTTAAGTAGCTAGGACGCAGTAGAAATTCTAAATAATTTAAGTTATATATTAGATTGTGGTAGCTAAAGGGCTGAGGGGAAAAGGGCTGAGAGAGGAGTGTGGTTGCGAGAGTGTGGTGCCGAGGAGATGGAGTGTCCGCAGGCAGGCGAGGGCTTGCGTAAATTGATTTCATGTCAACGCCATCAAAAACTTCGAGTATCGTGTCTTTTAGTGATGAAGACAAAGGTGCAGGTGCGACACAGGTGAACGTGAAGTTCTAACTCGTGTTAGGCAGCCGCACTTAGAAGGTGGGGTCTAGCGCCCGGGCGTAAACAAAGGTACCTAAGTAGCCCCCATCTGGGATTCAATGTACAGCCATGCAACTTGGCTCGCTATAACACTATACTGTAGAAAGAACAGATCGTGGGCTGCTTGTTGCCGATGGTCTTGAAATAGTCGGGCGTTGAGCGCAAGGCTGAGTTGGGGGCCTACTCCAACGATCCTTCCCCTCCAACTTTAGTAGGACAGCGGCCATGGAGGATCCTTCCGCCCCAAGATGACGTCTACGCCTGCTGGGTACGAAGGCCACCATACAGTATGTTCTCTACGAAGTTTTTTGCACATGATCCAAAATTGAATGACTTCGTGAGTATAGACACCGATGTGGAAGTGGTTCAGCTCCTTCCCAGCCGTCAACTTCAACACCCCTATACTCATACTTTCCAGTCGAGTATCATGATCCAGGTCATGGCCACGGAAGACGCAGATGGGAAGCTGACTTGGAAGAATGGCTTCAAAGAGGGTGACTTGAACGCTTCTGGCACCTACGACGTGTGCGCATCCGATGGCACGGAATGCGACGTACCTGAACCCAACAAAAACACCCAGCAAGACAGATGCCTTCGTCACAACCCATGTATTCCTAGCGATCTTCGCGCGCCCAAAACGCTGCGGCGGCTCAGGCGGATTTTGCTTTTCCGCTGACTGGAGCTGGCGTGCGCAGCCGCTCGTCCCGAAAAAATACCCCAAGCCCGGATCAGAGCCACGCAACGATGCCAGTGTCGTATACGAAAGCATATGACGTGGACAGCGCGTCGTGTAGCGGGGTATCATCGTGGTGTATGGTCAAAGGCGATGCCCTGATACGGAACGAAGAACTCCTCCAGCGACACTTCGACGCACCATTCGACATGGTACAGACAAAGAAGCGGTTGAAGGTTCAGACATACCTCCCTGCTATGACGCGGTTCTTGTTCAGTAGGCCCGGCCAGTACAAATCCCAGCAAGGGCATGGCCCTCTCCATCGCCATGGTCACACACTACTCCGGCCACGGAACCTCCGTCAGCGTCAACCACGAGTGGAAGTTCTACACCACCAGCGTCGGCAAAGCCGTGGGCAGTTGCGGTGAGACTGACGGCAAGGAAATCGTTGCGGATACCGATGAGACGCCTCGTCCCGGTCCCGATAGCAAGGCGCCGTTCCCTGGCGGTGTCTTTAAGCTGGATATTGAGGGTGAGGCGTGCACGTACAAGTGCGATGGGAATAATCCGGGGAGGTTGTTCTGCCCGCAGAGGGAGATTGCTTGTCGCGAGGATTCGAAGAAAAATATGGAGGTTGGGGCGATGAAGTGTGGGAGGGATCAGTTCTTTGCTCCGAGTGTGTTTTGCGATTTCTGAGCAGTTTCGGGTATATCAACCTAGGAAGAAACTAAACGTCTAGCAGCCTACATTTACATGGAAACATGCAAGGTACGTAACCTAACGTTGATATAGGTTCTAGGCCTGTTCGGTCCTTCTTACGCATAAGGTGGAGGTAGCATGGAGACGAGTGTTGTATTGCAGTGTGTTGTTGTGACTATGTCGACGGAGGTTTGGGTCTGGGAGGCGCACAATTGTCCTGAAGGTGCTGCTCTAGGAATGAATTATCTACGACAGGACGTGCAATTCCAAGAGCCGCGGATTTTGACAGTGAACGATGTAGACTTACACATGATAGCTGCGAAGGCAGTGCCATCAGTAAGCCAATGATCAATGAGTCGCAAATGGTATGTAGTTGCAGGACTTTTAAGCTTCACGTGACAATCTTGAAGTGGGACTCGCATTCGTCCAATTCCGATGCGTTACCCAGCAATTACCAAGCCCCAAGCCAAGCCGTAGGATGCAACGCCACGCATCCTTAGGCTGCGATCCTTCATGCCGTCGCGGATAACTCGGGACTATCAAACGAGGTCCACGGATGATCTCTTCCACAACTCTTTGTCCGGCCAAACACGTTCTGTTTCAGAACGCATGTTCGAGCGGGGAACTCAATGGAGAGGCACGAACCGGTGTGTGTGTGTATGCAGCAAGCACCTGGAAAGTATGTTTGCGATTCGGTATGCCTGGGCATCAGTAATCAGGGCAGTGATCTGGGATGAGAGGTGGTCGTGGAGTGTAGCGTCTGAGGTGAGATGATGCGTTGGTACCAGGATGGCGGGCGACGTATGGATCTCACACACCAAGGCTTGTCGTGAGCAAGTCAGCTATTCCAACACATCGCTTAGGTACGTGAGGCGGAGTATGTACGCTGTTCATAGTGGAGTTGTGGACTGCAGAAGCGAGGCGGCTGCTGCCACCGGCTTTGTATCACGTCCAACAAACTCGAAGTGACGGTCATATTGCTCATGCGTCATTTGGATGCGGAAATAGATGGAGATGGCTTCCAGAAGAGAAGGCCCGCGGTTCCATGTCGCGGGCAAATATCGATACACTATAGGCTCCTTGGCGCGGTTGAGTGCTTGGTATGGCGCTGTGGCACAGACGGAGCAAATGAGCAGGCAACAATAGATTGAGCAACTTGCATAATGGCACCGCGAAACCGGGTTCTCGGACTCGCAACGAATTCCCTCCATCAAGAGCGGCTCGACGCGCGGTGGTGAGGCGCTGTAAGGCATGCCGGCCCTGCACGGATAAACACACGCCGTCAGAGCGCCGGTCGTCGAGGAAAGGTTTGGGGACCTGGGGGAATCATCGGGCGCTATCGGACCAACGATTGCTTGGCCTACCTTAATTTTCCACCGGTTCCGGATGACCCCTCAAATCGTGGGCTAGGGGCTGCCACTATACGGTACGACGCTCCGATGGCGCAGTTCTGGACTTGCGGCTCAGAGCACGTGGGCTTGCAGTCGCTCCAGTGCTTCGCATTCGGCAGGTGCAGCAGCATGTGAAGATAGCTAGTGGACACGTTGTGTGTGGAAGCTGATCTGGGAGGATTGAGAATACGAGCAAACGGCCGATGGGGCGCTGCGACTCATCGCTGTGAGGGGTGTCTTTGGCGAGGACCAACCCAACACCGGGGATAGCAGCGGCAAGGAAATTATGCTTAAGTCTGCGCCAACCTTATCTGCAACCTTGCAGCTGTAAGCGAGAGACAGATTACTGAGCGCACGCAGATCGCCGTTTATTCATGCTCACAGTAATCTTGACGTGAAGATGTCGGCCCGTAGAGACATACGACGGCTTTCCCTGAGACTCGTGCTTGGTGATTGAAACGACGTAGCTGCCTGCAATCGCGAACCCATGATGTAAATATCCGGTATGTGGAGAAGCCAACGCTGGGCAGGCTTGACAAGTCGGATGACGCGGCTTCGACGGTGTGAGCTGATAAGACAAGCAGCGGGCGTTGTATGAACGTGGAGAAGGGCGGCCTTGGCCATCCATCGAAATAACAATCCTGTTTGCTACTTGGCAGGCTTGAGTGCTACTGATCCAATGGTTCCACCCGGAGGTTTACCTCTCTCGGGCAGCTGAGACGCCACGTTCCATGGCATCTTGCACAAGTGCTCGTCCGCAGTCTACGGTCTTGGAGGAGTCTTGACAAAGAAAGACGGTCTGATGAACAAGGTGCTGCGCTGTCCACTTGGTAGGCAGCAGGGTTTTACGCAAAGTCGGGTCTCGTCATGGCGCAACACTGCCACGATGACAGTCAAGGGGCGGGAAGTCTCATGGCTCCGATGCTCAGCTCTTCTGTTCTGGAAGCGGAGAAGCGACGGCCCTGTGATACCGCCAGTGTGGGTAAGTCGGATCCTCGTGGCACGGTGGTAAGCTTAAACCGCAGGCACCAAGCTTAATCAAAGTGCTGGCCGAGCCTTTAAGCGAATGAGCTGAGAAGTTGCAAGCGCCGGATTACGTTGGTGTGGATCGGAGCGGATGTCTGATCCAGAGCGGAGTGTGGAATCGGCTTGGTTGGCGGGTACAGTTTCCACGTATGCCACAAGTTTGCGGGCGGCCGTTTACTTGCGTGAGCAGACGGCACAGAAACTCTGCACTTAGCCGGCATGCCGGAGCGTGTAAGGATTCCATTGAGACTAGGCAGCTCCTTTGTCGCGCAGGTCAGTTGTTTGTCCGCTTCCAAGGGCGCCGAGAGCACGACAGGTGGAGATTTCTTAGGGGACCGAGGCCAAGCATGCCATGGCCTGCCACAATCTGAGGGCGACGCGAGCGTGGGTTGGTTTTGGGACGACACGGACTTTTGGAACGCCTTGGCTGTGCTTGGTGTGTTGCTGCTAGCGGGGGCCAAGCAGGACAAGACGGATTGACGGACTGATGGACCACACCGCGAAGTCTTGGGAGGTGTCAGCGCCGGGGTCCGAGTGGGGCTGCCAAGGGATCGAAGGCTTGTCGAAAATAAAGATTCGTTTAGAGTTATCCGGCTCGCAAAGCTTGGCTGGGCGAGCCAACGCCGCCAGGCGCTGCGTGGTGCTGGGCATGCCGTGGCTCCGGCGTGTGCGAGCCGCGGTGAGGGCTCGTCGCTGCAAACAGTTTCTCACGCCGTCTGGGGACGCTGGCTGGTGGCACAGGGCGGCATGGCAGGTATTGGGGGCTGTGTGTGGGTAGACGCTGCTGGGGCTCCGCTGGAACGGAAGGCCAGTGAGCAGCTAGCTGGGGTCCAAATAAAGCTTGTCGTGCGCCTTATTTCGCTATCAGACGCCACTCCACGTCTCGGCGGGCGATCAAGACGACGACCCCAGCGCCCAGAAAGGGCCAGAGACGCCAAAGGAGCGTTGCTGGGTCCCAAGCCCGCCTGCCTGCAAGTACATGAGGGCGGATGACTGCTGATGGCTTTCCAAAGATTTCGCCCTCTGACCCATCTTCCCCAACTTCCAGCTTTCGTCACCTAACGCCGCCTATACCAACTTACCAAGTGGACCACTGCCGCGCACACCTATCAGACGCTGACTCCGTTTCATTGCCGGCCCGTTTCACGTCACCGGACCTCGACACATTTGACCTCATCGCACTGCCCCATATAGACGTTGCGACGGCTTTGCAGACACGCCCCGTCACAGTCACACACCCTATTGTAAGTCTGTCTTTATGTTTCGTGTCTCCGTGCCGCTTTGCCTGCCCCCTCTCTGGCATGCCGTTTCTCGGTTCGCCCTGTTCCAACATTTATGCGCACCGCGATTTCCGAGTTTGCCGGAAACCCTGCATACCAAGATTACTGCAACTGTCGCATTGCCTTGAACCCGAAGCGCTTGTTCCATGGCTTGGACTAACGCGAACCACACAGCATCTATGAGGTCTTGACACCTCCACACTATCTTCGACACATCTCCCCCACACACGTCTTCGCAATGGAGACCTACCACGGACACGTTCGCACGCCAAACGATGCCATCATCCTGTTTGAGGCCTGCCGCATCGGCATACTACCGCGGGTACAGCGCCGCCTATCCGAGAAGGAGCGCCAGCAGATCAAGTCAGGCTCAGTATTTGTATGGGACGAGCGCGAGGCCGGCATGAGGCGGTGGACCGACGGAAAATCATGGAGTGCCAGTCGCGTGTCGGGCAGCTTCCTCACGTACCGAGAGATGGAGGGCAAGCGGGGAGGCAGCGCAGTTCCCACAGCCCCAGTAGCGAAGAGGGCGAGCGGGAAATCCCCAGACGGCACAGGCTCAGGTGAATCGGACGGCGAGGGACCAGACGGCTACCGGTACAAGCCGGATGGTCTTATGAAGCAGTCCTTCAGCATCACCACCCAGAGCGGACAGCACCTCCACCTCATCAGCTACTACTCCCGATCGAATTCCAACAACCTCCCACAGCCGACCAACGATGCGCAACTGCGGCACATCCGCCCGCCAAAGAACATGTACCCGGAGTCGGCGGTGAACGAGACCCAGACTGTGCCTGCCGTCACTCGCGGGCCCATGCCTGGCTCGCCATACAGCGCACCAGGACACAGCATGGCACCTTCCTCGCCGTATACCCGTGGTGGCCCTGTCGCACCCATGTACGCGATACCAATGTATCCTCCCACACCACCCAACGGTACTCCTCCCATGTACTACTCGCACCAGCCTTACTTCTACCCCGGCGTCGTCTACGCGCAGCCTCCCTACCACCCACAACACGTCTTCGACCGCCCACCAATGGCCCACCCTCACGCTCCTCAAGGCCACCATCCCATGCTGATGCAACACCCCGCTTACGCAGCGCACGCCGCACACGCTGCTCAACAATATATGGCGACGCCGCCTCTCCGCACTCCGTCGACAGCCGAGCAAGCTCAACAGCAGCACCTTCAGCGTGCCACTGAACTTGCGCGTCCGAAAGTATCAGCCCCCGAGCAAGGTCCGCAACTACCTGCCATCAACGGCGCGGCCGCCTCAGCAGGTGCGAACAAGCCACCGACACCAGAGCCTTCCGACAAGTCCGAGTCCCGGGCACCCGAGTCAAATAGCACCGCCGCAGCCGCAGCATCGAGACCGCTTCCTACACTGGGGTCGCTGCTCAACGGTGAAACCCAAGATAAGGACAACCAGAACAACAGCCGTTCTGGTAGCCGTAGTCCTAACACTGCAACGAGGTTCCCCCGAGACTTGGCACCGGAGAGACTCGCTAAGAACAGCACCGCTGCCGATAGCAGCGCGTTAAACAAACTCAACAGCGTGTTCGTGCGATCATAGCAACATCACGGCTAGTGTCTTAATCTTCTTCTGCTGACAAGCGACTTCTTCTTGTTCTGCTTCCACATTTACATCTGTACTCCCCACTTTTCTTTCTGAGTACGGGTGGTCGTCTTCAGCATTTACGAACGGCATATGGGCGGCGTTCGGGTATCACGGCTACATGGCCAAATCATGATAAGCCTGGGGGCTGGGGAGATGCGCGGTTCATAGCATCGGCCGATAATCGGGCCTGGAGTTACATGGTGTACTTTTTCACAACTTTGTTGATACAACGAAGTGTTATGCGTGACACGCTAGCTATGATGTTTGTCGCTGCTGCAATACAAAATTTCATACCGCCATCGCATGCAAATCTTTTCGAATATGATCGCTCCGTGACTGTCCTGACGTTCACTTTAGAGTTTTAACGTTGCTTTATGCTTAACGTGTCTAATCGCGACTAGCGATAAGCTTTCAGCACTGACATCATCACCATCACGCACCTGTCTCCCTATCAACTCGCACACCGTCCAGCAGACAAGCCAAGCCCGCTATCATCACCAAGCCGACTTCTTGCGACTCTTGCGATACCTTGTCTGACGCCTCCGCTGAGCTTCCACTGCTTCTCTCCCGGCAATTACCCAATCACCCCCATTTTAACGGAACTAGCCACCCATCGCAGCTTCCTGTTGCGGAAGGTACGCTTGTCTATCACGTAGTGTCAGACCCTATCTCGAGTAGTTCCGCGGATCAACATGAGAGATACCCCGCAGTGGTACGGCAACTTGCGGGCGTGAGCGTATCGCGTGTAGGGAGATGCAGGGGTGGCTTATCAACTATGAATGGGCGGACGTCAATGGCGCGTTGGGGAGGTCGGTTATCGTTTACGGAGGTTTGTGCGTCGACGTTGACGTCGCGTCGGCTCTTGGGTGGGTTTATATGAACGGTTGTGACTACGACTTGCGCAGTTGAGTATTGCGCATCTTTGTTCTTTCGTTGAGTCGACTATTCGAAGCGATCGAGCGCCCTCGAGATACCACGTCATGGCGTCAGCGACCGACCACCCACCCACATCTCCGCATCCTGCGCCCGTGGATGTCGAGAAAGAACCGATTGTCGAAAACAACGGCAAAGGTCTCAAGAATGTCCTCGACGAGAAACTCTTGAAGCACTCACACGATGCCGATGCGGCGATGAAGGCGTTCGAGGGCATGGAGGGCCAGGTTGTGGAGTTGACGGAAGAGAAGAGTAAAGCGCTGCTGAGGAAGATTGATATGCATATGATGCCCGTACGTTCAATTTTCCCTGTTCTGAAAATTATCGATGCGTTCGTTGGCATGACTGGTAACGAGCTAATGATGTTTACAGATCATGTGCATAGTTTACGGGCTCAACTACCTCGACAAGACCACATTGAGTTACGCAAGTATCATGGGTCTGAAACTCCCTCCTTCGGACAACATACTAGAATCTGGTATCGGTCTAGTCGGAGACCAGTACTCGTGGCTGGGTAGCATGTTCTACTTTGGATATATCGCTTGGGAGTATCCTACCACGCGTCTACTGCAAGTCTTGCCACTGGGAAAATACTGTACGTCTCATTCCACTCTAATGCTTTAACTATTCAGCATGTTGCCAAGGGGCTAACATATCAAAGCGGCGTTCAACATCATAATGTGGGGCCTCGTCCTGTCCTGTTTCGCAGCCGTAGAAAACTACGCTGGAGCAATCGCCATCCGCTTCTTCCTCGGCGTCTTCGAAGCAGCCGTAACCCCCGGTTTCGCCCTCTTCACCTCGCAATGGTACACCAAGAAAGAACAAGGCTCACGCACAGCCATCTGGTTCAGTTTCAATGGCTTTGCGCAAATCTTCGGCGGCTGCGTCGCTTACGGCATTGCTGTGGGATGTCGCAAGTACGGAACTATCATGGAGCCCTGGAAGATAGTTTTCTTGGTTACGGGACTGCTTACTACGTGTCTTGGTATCGCGTTTTTGTGGATCGTCCCGGATAACCAGTTGAACTGTAGGTGGTTGAGTAAGGAGGATCGGGTTTTGGCGATTGAACGTATTAGGATCAATGCGCAGGGTGTGGGTAACAAACACTTCAAGTGGTATCAGTTGAAGGAGGCGTTGGTCGATCCGTTGAGCTGGGCGTTCTTCTTCTACGCGTTGATCGCTGATATCCCCAACGGTAAGCCATCATTCACAAATCTCACCGAACCAACTGCTAACACCCCAACAAGGCGGCATCTCAAACTTCTTCTCTCAACTCATCGTCGGCTTCGGCTACACACCCGAAGAATCCCTCCTCTACGGCACCCCAGGCGGCGCCGTCGAAGTCGTCTTTCTTATCGCATGTGGCTGGGCAGGCGACAAATACGGCTACCGCCTCCTCATATCCATGATCGGCCTTACCACTGCTATGATCGGCATGATCCTCATCGTCGCACTGCCTCTGAACAACAACTCCGGTCGTCTCGCTGGCTATTACCTCACCCAAGCCAGCCCTACCCCGTTCGTCGCTCTGCTCAGCCTCATCTCGAGTAATGTAGCGGGGTACACGAAGAAAACCACTGTGGCGGCTATGTATTTGATTGGGTATTGTGCTGGGAACATTATAGGTATGTACTACCTTCTGTGTTTGAGACGAGTCCGGCTAATGCGATGGATGATTCCAGGCCCCCAAACTTTCCGCCAGCAAGACGCACCTCGTTACGTTTCAGCCGAGATCACGATTATCGTCTGTTATGGCGTTTGCTTGGGTATCATAGCGTTCATCCACTTCTACTGCGTCAGGCAGAATAAGAAGAAGGCGCTGATTCGTGCTGACCCTGGATACGTTAAGCTTGAGAACCAAGAGTAAGTCTGATCGCTCAGATGCATTATAGATGTGTACATGCGCTAATCTTGAGTGTAGATGGCTCGATCTTACGGACAGAGAAAACCCAGAGTTCATTTACACATTGTAGGAAGTGTCTTGGAGCGCACGAGATGAATGCGAAGCGGAACCGTCATAGATGATAGAAGTATCTAACACCATTATACCGCTGATGAAGTTTCAATCGCATCCCCATTCGTTCAGATTAACACATGCCGCCATTGTAGCAAGTCAGCTAACCCAAAAAGAAAATCGACAATGCCAACTAGTCATGCCGCAGCACGGCACCTCACGGCTGCTGTGCAGGCTTCACCTTGACCATCATAGGCCCTTTATCCCAAAGCGCAAAGACTTTCTGGTCCATCCAATCCCTCTCTTTGTCCACAAGTTCTAGATCATAAGCGAAAAGCACCTTGGTGAGAATGAGGCGCGTTTCCGCATGTGCAAGACTAGAGACGGTGATGTCAGCTCAACGTCCGTACAAACAAGAAGTCGGAAGAAGAGAGGGTGCAACATACGTCTTCCCAATACAATTCCTCGGCCCAAAGCTAAACGGCTGATGGCTCGCCCTCTTATCATCCGTGTACCGCTCATCCCCCAACCACCTCTCCGGCACAAAAGCATCTGGATCCCGCCAGTTACGCTCAGAATGGCCCATGGCATGCATGGATACATATACCGACGCCCCGCCAGGGACATAGTAGCCCGACACACAGTCGCCACCCGCCGGCACCACACGAGCAAGGCCCGTGGCAGCAGGCGGATAGTACCTCAACGCTTCCTGGAATACAGCGATGAGGTAATCCAGTTTATTGACTTCGTCAACGGTAATTTGGTCAGCAGAAGAAAAGCGTGACCGGATCTCCGTAACGAGTTTCCTGTACGGCTGTGGGTTGCGGAGGAGGAGGTACGTCGCACCCGCCAGAGCCGTCGCACTCGTTTCACTACCTGCAATGAGGAACGAAACAGCATTACTATCCATTTCCGCGCGGGTGAGTCGAGTGCTTTCTTTCTCTTGGTTCTTGATTATGTGTGTGAAGAAATCGGGGCGTGTGTCTTCTCCACTTTGGATCTTCTCGAGTCGCTTGCTTACCATGTCGTGGGCCCGTTTCGCGAATTCGTAGCGGGCGCGCATGGGGCCGGTGTTGTCAGTGAAGAGGCTTCGCACAAAATCGAGGTAGCGGAATGTAAAGTGCTTGCCTCGTGAGACGTGGAGGGCGATGGCTTGAAGGCTGCGGAGGGTGATTGAGATCCAGAGGTGTTCTTTGGAGTCGCGGAGGCAGTAGAGGGGTTCGCCGAATGTGAGGTCGGATATGATGTCAAAGGTCGTGAAGTCTATCGTATATGGTTAGTCTGAGTTCTGAAGGAGAAGGCGCTGCGTGTAATACGCACTGTACCAAGTCCTGATATCGATATCGGTGTCTTCGGCAGCGTGTTCGCCCAGACGTTGTACCAGAAGATCGACATAAGACTGTATGAGACTTTCCTGTCCTCGTAGAGCCTTGTCGCTGAAAGCGTGCGATAAGCTACGTCGCATCCGCGGATGCCCCTCTTCGTCTGCGATGAGAAGTGACAAGACGCCATTGACAGGCCGGGGGCTATCTTGTCATCAGCATCTTCTCGCTCATAGCTTCAAATGGAATTAACCTACAACCACTTCAGGTCCTTGACAAAGTTTCTGCTTCTATCCGTTTTGTGGCCGTAGATATCCTGCCACGCAGTCTCTCCCGAGATGAAACTGACTTCATTCGGTTCTAGACGCACTGCATCACCGTATTTTTCGTGGCATTCTTTGATCCATTTGACCACACTACCATCGCGTATGTGTAGCGCGAAACATAGACCGGTGGCGCGTGCGAAGAGGGGACCAGGGATGTGCCTGAGAGGATGGAAAAAGATGTTGTATACTACTGTGCAGGTACCGTAGATAATGGCCTATTCGGAGTCAGTGAAGCTTTATAGGTGAATCGCATCAATGTGGTAGTCAGGGGGTTGGGTAGTCTCCTCATGTCACGATCGTGAGACGGACGTCAGATGCCAGGGCAAGGGTGACGGCAACCTCAGGAACGTGAGGTGTGTACTCACTGACGCTAAAGCCACTTCGAACGCATTGAAAATCCCTTGCAAGCTAAACAGCGTGTATCCAGTCGTTGAGATACTCGTCAAAATCGTCATGGTTGGACTTGGGCGATACTGTCTTGAATCAAGATACTCCCCGCGTTATGTATCTGATGGGCGGGGTTTGACTTGAAGATCTCATGGAGCAACGCATCATCTGCCGGGTTAATCATAAAGACCGTAGAACGACCGCCTAATACCCTTGGGCTAGTTATCAACAAAGTTCACGACATGGTTTTGTTCATCGAACGTCCGTGCGCGAGAGTCGTTGATCCTCAGGCTGGTGCTGGCATAAGCAGGCTAGCGTGAATCGATATCTGATCATCACCTTTAAACTCGATGCACCCCTCTAACAGCTCGTAAGAATCGGCCAGACTGTAATTTACACCCCGCCTGCCCCACCTCTTCGGCCCATACGCCTTATACCCCGAACGTCGTTCTTGTATCGTTCCCGTCGCGGTGCGTGGGATGCCCACCGTGCTAGTAACCCCGATGCAAGACGATTGTATTGGGGGTTCGATGTGCATGTTGTGACATGTGATGCTGACCGATGAGCGATATACATCAATCCGGGGGTCTAGATGAAACGTCCACGGCCAAGAATGCAGGCTTCGAATGTACCCCGCTCCCAACAGCGGTCTTATGGGGGTACATAGTCGAATAGGATAGATCCGCTGCCAATCGAAGCTGCTGTTGAGCTGGGTACGAGCAGCAATCAAGATTCGGCATGTCGGAGCACTGCTCGAAGCGCATGTTCGATCGCTCTTATATGCTTATCGCCATGAGTGGACGCGTAATCGGATCATACTCCAGTCCGCACAAGTCCTTCGAGGTGACGTCGGCAGGTACTCTTCAGTGAGCAAACTTGGAAGCGATAGTATTCGGTACTTGGTGCTACTTGGCAGCGAGAACCTATCGCACGAGCGGTTAGTAATGCGAAAGAAGCGTGCCATGTTGATAGGGCCTCGATAAGCATCGTCTCTTCATTATCCTGCCTAAAAGTACTGCATATGGATGCACCGAATGTGTCGCCGCAAGCGTCAATCATCGTCGCCGTATCGATATGTAGACCTCCAGACGCCTGTCTGTATAATCTTCCCATCATCCTCGCGACGGCCGATGCGAATAACGCGATATCGACCGCGCATGCCCAAAGGAAAAAGGTATCGTAGAAAAGAAATATCCGTTCGCACTCGAATCGCGTGTCGCCTTGTAACTACCTCGTAGGTCTTCGCGCAGCCGAGGATCCCCTATCACGTAGTCAGCAAAGATGGCCCATAATGCTTCATGACGACCTACCCTTCATGCGCAGTATTCCATGTCTTGACGAAGGCACGTTGCGTCTTATCTGCATAGTCTTCGGCATTGACTTCCTTGACTCCGACCTTGGCGCCGTCTTTGGTAAAGACGACGTTCTTCTTCTCCATCTTCTTGACGCCGCGCTCGGCGAGCTCGTTGGAGTAGAGGAAGATCTGTAGTGGCGCGTGGCTTAGCATTCCGTGCGCGCGCATTGTCGGAGAGATAAATTACCTGGTAGCCGACCCATCCTACGCCTCCGACCACCGCGAAGAGAACGAAGAGCGGAATGAGGTTCAATGCGCCCATGGTTGTGGTGGTGATGACGTAGCGAGGCTGGTGTTGCGCTGAGGGTCGTGTGGCGGGGTAACCTTGCGCGAGGCGAGTGCGTCTGTGAATGAGGCTGATGAGGGAGGAATACAGATAGACTTCAGGGAAGGAAACTTTCAAGTTTCTGCAAATTGTTGAAGGGCTAGGGGCCCACAGTCGCTATAGATGCCGTGGCTGTGGCTGAGCAGATGAAACCCCGAACACGAATTGAAGGGTCAGCCTTGGCACGGAAACGGGCCGCAGCCTGATCGCCGCGGATGATGCATCGATCAAAAGTCCGGACATGTGAGCGGCCAGGAATGTCTTTTTGATTCTGGCATGATGGGTGCTGATGATGTCTTCTTATCATGAGGTTTTCGCTTAGGACGCCTGACGATTGACATGTTGCATGTCTCCACTGATCATCCGCGTCGAACGCGTGGGTCACATGAACACTTACTAGATACGGATGACGATCCATGGAACAGACATTCGGCTTATATTAGACCCTCCGCGAAGTCCCATTTACTGTTATCTAAAAACCTAGGTATAATACAGGTGCGATGCTGTTCACCACGAATTGGAATGTTTTCTTTCCTCCACATATTCTTACAGATCCCTTGCCCCACCCTGGCCTGCGTCAAGGGAACATGGGGCCACATGTCAGAACATGTCTTCTCGCTAATACCAGCACCTGAGCACTACTCAGCCCAAACTTTGTGCCAATGATGGACAGTCGACCCAACAGCCAGTCGCGTTGCTCTTGTGGTACGGTCTCGGCGTTTGCTGCGACGTATAGTGGCCATACCAGCGAGTATCCGCCGAATGCCTCCGCAGCTGCAAAAGAGTTAGCGCCATGCTTCACATCATGTTAGCAGGACTTCGACATACCATTTTGCTCTTGACCCATTTCCTTCGCCACAGGTTGCAACTCGTAGTTCATGTGAAATGGCACACATGCACTGATCTCGTCCACCATCATCTGGATGACAAACACGCTCCTACTCCACGTCTCATCGCCATCTGCATAGTTGCCAACGATGCTGAGCCATGTCACACATGCCATGATGACTCTTCGACAGAATATCCGACAAACGCGGTAGTCGTTCATTATACTCGCCAATGACACGTCATGATATACGTGTTGCTCGCCTGGCCATCTTTCAGCCAGCGCGATCTCCTCGGGTGCGATTGAATCGCTGGAGACGCCGATGATCCGATGTTTCCACTCTGGAGGCAGGGTGCGATACCACTCTTCGAGGTTTCCGTCGACCATTTGCGCAAGGTCGAGGATTTGCTTCGCTTCTGATTCGTAGGCGGGATCATAGGGTGTGGTAGTGAGGATGTTCGCACGAGCGCGGAGGTTTGGGAGATCAATACAGATGAGTGTCAGCCGATTGGCAGCATTCTCTTCGGAGATGTCGCCGTTGCCGACCCAGCCTCCGGTACCGGGAAAAGAGTCGATGGGTTTTGAGCGTTGAACGCAGCTTGTGATCTGTCCTTCGTTAGATTATGGCATGCAAACGATTTGTTATTGGTACTTACCATCATCGTTCGCACGGCGCGGAACATTGCATGTGACATTGGATCGTTGAACTGTTCGATTCCTCTTAGTTTCGTTAATGCCACAGCACCGTCGACATGGTTTCCCCATGCCGTGATAGTGTCGTCTGTACTCATTATGGTCTGATGTTCGTTAGCTCAACATGTGCATCTGGGGGTAGACAATCAGGCTATTGGAGGCCCGCAAGAGATATCTCGTCCACTTACTTCATATAATGAAAACACGAGAACAGCCAGTACCGTCTCATCGCTCTTCGCCATCGCAGGATCTTTCAGATCTTCGTTCAATTTCTTGATAGCCTTGCCGTAGGTGGTCACCGCTTCACGGAGGAGCTGTTGTCGGCCAGGATACTGACCGCATGTTGCCATCGCAACAGCAGTAGTAGCCAAATGGAGGACCGAAGATGAGCGGGCACGATTGTAGAGTGGCACCAAATATTCTAGGTATCCTCGTGTGCTTTCGGCCTGTTGTGGCAAGGTGATGAAGTTCTTGAAGAAGAACGGTACGGCTTCGCATTCTGGCGCGAGTGTTATGGTTGGCGGTACTGCGTTTTCCAGATTCCACACGAACGCTTCGAAGTCGAAAGACTGGTCTAGAGACAGTGGTGGTGTTGTATAGTTGGACAGAGCAAGTATTTGCTGTGATGGGCTTAAGTCTGAGGGTATTCTTGATCGTGAGGTGATTATTTGAAAGGCTTTCTCCCCCGGTACTGCATTCTCCCCCGGTGGTACATCGAACGTCGAAGAAGGTGACCTATTTGTGTTAGCGCGTACAAATTGCAATGTGGGTCTTCGGCTTGCGACAATCACATGTGAACACTTTCAGAACGCATACCGCCTACGAGGGTACCCATTTGCTCGGCAAAGCTTATCGGTATCCCCTGTGCACAAAGAGGATCGACATGGGCAGAATGGTGTAGTACATACAGATGCGGCGAAGTGCTGGAGCTTGACGCACCGTTGCTATTGCTCGACGCGGTCGTTCCGGAAGACTTCCTCGCCTTCTTGGCCATAGCTTTGTTCTCATCTCGAAAGACAAGGTCGAAATCATCAGGATAGCCGGGACATACTCGGGCGGACTTTTTGCAGTTGCCACATGTTGGTCGTTTCTCGTCGCACTATGCACAGTCAGTCGGCGAGCCAAAACGCGGCCTCAGGCAAGCGCATCCGAATACGCTCGGAGGCGATATCGCTAGTCAAGAGAATAGAGTAATTGTCGCGAGGTAATACATACCTTTATTCGGCGGCTTTTACACATCCCACACCCCCGGCTCGGCTTTCCGGTGTAGACCATCGTGATACGGTATTCTAAGGAATGGAAGAATAGAAGAAGGCGACAGGGACAAGACTCAGGCACCAAAGACAACACTTGCCTTCCAGATTCGGGCCTTCGGTTCTGACTTTAAAGATGCCGTAGGTAAACAACGATATTCCTAATCGGATTTCAGGCAACTCCGCCTCTGAAGCCTACGACTACGATCAAGCCTATATTACCAAACGATCCAAGCGACAAGCTTCAGCTCGCCTATATCTGACAAGCTCTGTAGATGAGCGCAAGGCCGACTCCCATGCACCGAGGTACGCGACGATAAGCTCAGGAAATTGACGTCGACGTAGGTTGGACAAGGCGTTCGGCCGGCAGTGCGAAGACTCGCTAGGGAAAGAATTCGCGATCGGACCACACAGCGTGTAAGCAGCGTGTATGACTGGACCTATCAGAAGCGGAAGAGGGCGATGACAGGGCTGCAAACTTCATTCTGAAACCGGACGAGGGATGGCATGGCAGTCCGAGTCGATTGGTCTGCCGCACCGAGATGTCCACCGCAGGAAGCAGCCGTTGTTGTGGTTGATTTTTCTCGCAAGCACCACCAGATTGGGCTTAGCGCTGCGCCCAAAACAGTGGCGCAGCATGCTGTCGTCCCCTTTCTGATATCACCAGGAACGCGACAAGACGTGACAAACACAACTTGAGGCGTTTCCAAACGTTGCTGCCTGGTGTCTTCTCTGCAGGTACCTCAGGCACTGACGCAACCGCTTACGTATGTCGCGTTTTGCGCTTCTTTGGGATCATATACGCACTATGGGAATCGCCGGCTCGTCCGAATTCGCCGTTTAAGCCGACTGTCAGCGATTGCGCCATTGGCGCGACGTGTCCTCTGCCTCAGACCGCGATGAGAGATGAATTTCGATGACGGGATGATGCAAAGAGACCGATGAGCGATGAAGGACGAGAATGCATAGCCAGGTCGAAGTACGCCTCCAGATCTTGCGTATTAGAGGGGGTGTCAAGCGATTATCTTGAACACCTGTCGCAAACACGCACAGCGAAGCAGAAGTCATCTTGGCTGGCAGGCGTTGGTAGGACGGTAGTCTGCGAGAGCGCATACAGAACGTGCAAGAAGGTTGTTCATTCGACGTACGCCAAGCCAATAAAACCTGGTCAATAACGTGGCCTCGTTGCTCTGTCAAAGTCCAACCACCCACACGAAATTCGGCTCAGCGACAGTCACCATTATCATACAGCATGCTTCAGGAAAGAAATATAATAGAATGTAACAGGTCCATAGAGGCTGAAAGCCTAAGAAAAAGAGATGGAGAACGGAAGGTCCGGACGCAAAGGTTTTGATGGTCTTCGTCCCGTTCCGGAGTCCATCGAACTATCAGCAAGAATGCGCTACTACCAGTGTTGCGGCACTCTAACAGATTTGGGCCAAGAATAGGTATCACCGGTAAAGCGGAACCGGAGTGAACGCGTTAGGTGACCATAATGCGCGCTTGCGCACTTCTCGAGGCCCGCATCCTCCTGCTTCGTGGGCCAGCCACGCCCCGACCCGGAATCTGGTATATTGACAGAAGGCATGATATTACGACCGCTTGCCCAAAACGCCTACTATCGACCGGGATATCCCATCTCAACTGGAGACTTAGGCTCTTGAGAGGGTAGCTCGTGAGGTTGATAATGACCCTGGAGCTCAGAGATGTGATATTCGTATTCTTGAGGGTGTTGATATGTTTCCATCGGTTTGGGTTCGCTTTCGGCCACCGGAACGGAGGCGTCAGGCGTCTTTGCTCGCTTTCCATGTCTTCGGCGAAGCAACAACATGGCAAAGATGAGCGCCGCAGTACCGATCACCCCGAGTGTAACACCCAAGCCAATGCCGATCTTCTCGCCTGTTGACATTCCGCCGTCTCTGGCAGGGCCGTTCGAACCGGAAGCAGTTGGTGACGGGCCGGTTGTCGACATAGCTGGCGATGCGGATGTGAAGGACGAGCCTGAGAAGCTTATAGAGCCACCGGAAGGGCTTGGTGTAGAGGTCGGAGGTGCACGAGCGACGTTGAAGCCCACTACTGCGATAGCTCCGACACTCGAATCTCGGGCTGCCGTCGTTGTCTCAATAGTCCAGTCATTAGACGAGCCATAAGGTGTAGATGCATACGTCAAGACCATACCCTTGGGGACGGTGGAGACGCAATCACCGTTGACGGGGCCGCTTGTGTGGAATGGGTTGGTGTAGCCTCTATGAGCTGGTAAGTTCAACGCCGAAAGGGTGTGCATGGCTAACTTACGAGGGACAGCACATTATCTGGGTTGTGGAGGTATCCGTAACGTAGGTCATGACGGTCGTCCACAGATTCGGGCATATTAGGGGCTGAATGCTCAGCGCTGTATGCTCCTCACCGCCGACACCCAGTCGTGCCTGTTCCCACCACGTTGTCACCGCGGAAGGTACGCAGTCGACATCCTCATCGATGTCGAGACCATAGCCTGGATCAAACGCTACCAGACTGGGTCCATTGAGCCGGAAGATGGATTCGCAGCCAGACGATGGCGTGAAGGTACTTGTGAGCGGAATCCATGAGGTTACTTCACCAGCGTGAGTCACCGGCGTAGCTGGCATCAAAGAGAGATCTGCCATCGTACAGTAACCTCCAGGGTTGGATTATCTGAGCTGTATGGGTCAAAAGGCTGGTTTCGTCTACGAGACGATGGGTATCACTGACGGAGTCTCACTTCATGGTACCAGGGCAGGGGATCAGGCGCGTCCCCTAAGCGCGTTCATACGCCTGCGCCGCATGGAAATGGGATGTCACTTGTATTGGTTCGCGAACGCTTTGATCATCGATTCGCCTTATGATTAGCCTGCTGCAATCATCATTTGAGATATGCAGTACGCACGGTTTCAATTCCCGGCGCTAACGTGAGAGTGTGGCGTGGTTGAAATCCTTCTGTCGCACCGAAGGGGGATGTCAACAATGACTACCTGTGGAAACTCGATTCTACTTCCTCACTACTCATCAAACTTAGACTTCTTATAGTATGTCGCGTTCTTCTGTGCGCAATCGCAAACGCGAGGCGAGCCATGCTCGAAAGGCTAATGGCCATACGACATCCTCGCCAATTTCATCCCCCTGGTCGGTTTCCAAAACACCATACCTCACAGCTGCGATTGTCCTCGGAGCCTCTGTCTGCCTTTGGCTTTCAACACAACCCATCCCTTCGACTCTTACTCGGAAGTGGCTGCCCACCCCGCCTAGCGAGTGGGATAATCGACGGCAGCAAGTCAAAGATGCTTTTGTCAGTAGCTGGGACGCGTATTCCAAATACGCCTGGGGTTTGTGAGCCCTTTCCCCCCGTAGGAATCTGATGCTTATACATTATGCAGGCTATGATCAATTTCACCCCATCGCCAAGAAAGGTTCAATGATGAGTCCGAAAGGCTTGGGTTGGATCATCGTTGATAGTCTCGACACGATGATGATCATGAATCTTACATCGCAACTAGCTGATGCAAGGATCTGGCTGCACCGCAGTCTAGATTACGAGCAAGATCAAGATGTCAATACGTTTGAGACCACAATTCGTATGTTGGGCGGTCTCCTCTCTGCGCACTATCTCACGACAGTGCTGCCCGGTGTCTCTTCGCGAAGAGACAGCATCTATCTGACCAAGGCTGTGGATCTAGCCGACAGACTTCTCGGCGCATACGATTCGCCGTCCGGTATACCATACGCAAGCATCCACTTGGCAAGCCGAAGAGGGCTTGTATCACACGCTGATGGTGGAGCTTCATCGACGGCCGAAGCGACGACACTACAGATCGAGATGAAGTACCTATCGAACGTCACTGGCAACGAGATATACTGGCGAAAAGCGGAAAAGGTCATGGAGGTTGTCGACAGTGTCAACGTGCACGACGGTCTAGTCCCGATCTTTATCACGCCCCATTCCGGTCAATTCACAACACGAGAGATACGTCTCGGAAGTCGAGGCGACTCCTACTATGGTAAATTATCTCATGTACTCGATCACTTCCTCATATACTGATTCACGTAGAGTATCTCATCAAGCAGTACCTACAGACTTCCGAGCCGATCTACCTCCAGATGTGGGAGGAGGCTTTGACAGGCATTCAGAAGCACCTGATCATCCCTACCAAGCATGCAAAGCTCAGCATCGTCGCTGAATTACCCAGCGGAATTGGCGGCTCTCTGTCACCAAAGATGGATCATCTCGTTTGCTTCCTTCCCGGTACCATCGCACTCGGAGCAACAAACGGACTCACCGAGGCTGAAGCCCGCCGCCTACCCAGCTGGAACACCGAGAAGTCGCAACAAATGGAATTGGCAAGGGCGCTTACAAAGACCTGCTGGGGCATGTACAAAGTGACCGACACTGGTATAGCACCGGAAATCGTCTGGTTCCGCGCGAGCGACGAGTCGTTGCAGTCCAGGAAGAATATGCCGCGCGAGCCCTTGGCGAGCAGTTCAAACTCTGAAGAGGTTTGGAAGAAAGACTTCAACATCAAACCCCTTGATGCGCATAACCTTCAGCGGCCGGAGACTGTCGAGAGTCTGTTTATGATGTGGCGTATTACAAAAGACCCCATTTACCGAGAGTGGGGTTGGGAAATCTTCCAGGCCTTCCTACACCACTCGACCGTTCCGCTAGGAGAGGGCTTCACTTCTCTCAACAATGTGAATGCTATCCCGCCTCCGCGACGAGACAATATGGAGAGCTTTTGGCTGGTACGTGACACGTTGGTGTGATTAGTCTTTGTACTGACATATTCTGCTAGGCCGAAACGCTCAAATATCTATACCTGCTCTTCTCGCCAGACGACGTTCTTCCTCTCACTGACGTAGTGTTCAACACCGAGGCGCATGTGTTTCCTAGAATGGGCATGGGGAAGTTTAAGACAGGGTGGCAGCGCAAGCCTAGGAAGAGTGCGTAAGGCCCGTGAATATGAGATGTTGTACTAGCATTAAGATCATCGACGCCCGGGACAAGCACACTTTGGGGCGCTGGCGCACCAAATACGTATTAGTGCATATGGAACTAAATGCAACTCATTGCGGTATAAATTGTTGAGCTTCATTTGAGCCTTCTGCTAAATTTACCTCTTATCAACGTCCGGCTTTCGCGCCATCACCCAAACAAACTCGGAATCGTAGTCTGGTTCATCCTCGTTCAAATTGCCATCGCCTGCCTTTACTTTCTCCACCTCCAACAGCTCGAAACCTACTTCTTTCAACATTTCGCGGTTCTCATGCACTCCATAACTGCTCCAAAACATTCCGTACCCCATCATCTCGCCATGTATCTCTTCTTCATCAATGCCCGCAAGGTTGAAAGCGAAGAGACCACCAGGCTTCATCCAACCGTAGATCTTCATGAGCATGTCCTTTAGCTGGGAGCGAGGAAGGTGGAAGAGCGTGTAGAAGCTGAGCACACCGTGAAAGCTCTCGGCTTCGAACGTGAGTGTGGTCATATTACCAGCGATGAACTTTGCACGCGGGCAACGAGCTTCAGCCATCTTGACCTGTTTCGCAGAGATATCATTGGCTGTCACTTGAGCTCCGTGGTCAACCAGCATGCTCAGTACTGGTACGCCTGGGCCACAGCCGAGTTCTAGAACGCTTGGGGAAGGTGGCAAACTGTCAAGTAGTTTCCTTGTGTAGCTTTCGCGTGGTGACCTATCGCTTTCGACCCATTCTAGATACCATTGTGCAATATGGTCGTAGGCGTGTTCGACGATACGTTCGGGTGTTTCAGACATGTCGGCGGATTGTCTGATGAGCAGCTGCTCAGAAAGGTGGCGGGAAATGCGTGTGCTTGTTCCGGTTCGACGATACTGCGGGCGAAGTCAGTTAATCGATGCGTTGATGCCTGGCACGATGGGGCGACACTAACTTCGGGCGTACTTTGGAATCGGATGATAGTTAGCGACACGAATGACTGTCGGGTCAACGCGCTGCAAAGACGCTCGTGAAGTTCAGAGCAGATCCTGTTAAAGGATACGATCTGGTTATTGGGCAACTTATCCAGTACTTTATTGACTTGGTGATCGTAGGAACTCCGCACTTGCAGCGGAACACCGCAATTACATGGTAACTCCGCACTCATATGCGGAAAACACCGTCGAAAGATGTCTAACATGTTGTACACTGTTTACAAATGCTGCAGAGTAATCAGTGTGAGGTGGAAGCCTACCGCCCACAGTGCTCCTCTCCAAAATCAGCATAGTACCGTGACCTTCATGACGTGAATGTCGAACTACATCGTACCAAGCAGTTATTGGAAACGCAACTAGTGATGATACTTGTGTTTTCAGGGCGTCAAGCCGCTGACTATCAAAGAACAAACTGGTTACGCCTAACCCCGAAGTTCCCCGGTTCTAGCCGCACATGCGAAGCATCGGGATTCGCGCTTCTTTGTCTGACATAAATCTGGGGTAGCACATACCATGAGTAGCTCAGCCACGACCCATTGTGTTCCTGTCGTACAAAACATAGTGCTTGAAAGTCTTTGATCGATTCGAATGTGCGGAGGCGGCTTACGACACATGTCACTTTTAAGATCGACCCGGTGCAACTTGATTTACAAAGCAGCAAGACACATTTTCTCTTTCTGGGTAGATACTGCGAAGCTATGCAAGCCTTTGGTCGCACTGAGATATTATCTTCTTACGTCCAAGCAGCAATTTGGCAGAACACACGTGATTCTGTGCGGAAGGAGGTTGTATAAAGGACAGCTAGATCTTCTTTGCCTAGAGAAAACCAGCACTGGACGTCAACCATACAGCTACCGTTTCGCTTCTTACCTCTTTCCTCCAGATATCAACATGAGACTCTCTATCACAGTACGTCGGGTGCAAACCCTACACCTCCGGTTACAAGTGGTCACACAACACACATATTAACCCCTGACGTACCAAGCAGGCCATGCTGTTGATCGGCCTCGCAAGCCCACTCACAGCTGCCCCTACCCTCGACGTCCGCCAAACCAACGCAACCCACAAAATCACCGTCTTCGTGATGGATGACTGTCTGAAAACATTTCCGCCTGATCCTGATGCGCCTACGGTGTTCAAAGAACAGGACGTTAGATACGGACAATGCTACGACGCGGTCGATTCCAACTGGTTCTTCAGCGGGTTCCTCAGTGCGGAAAGCGTCGCCTTGGCAGGGAGCTTTCAGCCACCAGCAGCTGACAACGTGATCTGCGAGACGAGAGTATATTTCCAACCCAATTGCGGGGGAGACCCAGCTTTGACAGACAACTATTCGGGGAAGTGTGTCAATGCGCGTTTGAACGTACCCGATCAATTGGCTGATATGGCTGGGCGAAGTATCAGGGTAGATTGTTGCAAAGGTGCGGCTGATGGGAAGAGTTGTTTGTATGTTCCAAAGTACCTGGATGGCTGAGGGACGAATTCGGCAACGGACGAACTGAAGTCGCGGTGTCGATATACCGTTGATGAAACGCGGAGAACAGTATTTTGGGGTGGCTCTTTCTCTGTACTCAGAACACTCATTTGGTCATTTGTTTCTTTCTTGTCTTCCTCAAGCCATACTACAAGAAGCTTCCACCTTCTCGCAACGCCTTGCGAAAGTCAAACCTAGCTTATACACAATGTCAACAATCATGCAGGCAACCTGTGTCGCGCAACTTTTACCCAGATAGTCAGTAGTTGCCCGTGTACGAATGCTAAGTAGTGGAGTCAGGTCGCGATATCAGGTTCCGCATGTCCTAGGTACTTCTGGCGCCAACGAGCAGCACATCGCTTCGGCGCGGCCGCGACTAACCAATACGCGAGGTCGAAAAAGAAAAGTAACTTCAGACGACAGCCACAACAACCACAAAACACTGATGTTGATGACAGACAAGTCTGGACTTCGTCATCCGTTCACGATGTGGTTCAGGTCGGCTACTGCACGTACTCTTACGGCACATATGCAGGTCGCACCTCCGCTCCGGTCGCGTCGCATGACCGATTCCACGCTATCGGTCCTACCTCGTATAGAAATTCATTGGAAAATTCCTTCGGTTGCCGGTGCGAATGGTCCCGCATACGCGCATCGGAAAGATCGATTTGGGGATCAGTACAGCCAGGATGATATCGCAGGCCAGCAGCCAACATCGCTCAGATCAAACTGGAGGCATCGTTGTGGCAACGTCCCCTTAACGTGTGCGTCTCGCGTGCAGATGTAAGCTGCTTTGTTCCTGCGTCGATCCCCGAAAAACTCTATTATTAGCTAGCCCTGCTTACACCTTGGCATGGTGGTGGGGTAAACTGTAGTCTGTACCGTAGCGGAACAACGCACGCGACGTGTTGTCTGATTGAGAACGAACGACGGCTCGGGAATGAGTCGATGATAATTGCCAGTCCGTCTCCCCTAGTGTGAAGCAGCTCAGTACAGCGATAAAGAATCGCGCGAGGAAGCGAGGAGAACACGAAAGTAAATCTCGGTAAGCAACCTAATCGAGTGCCGAATAACCGCGAGCATTGCACTCCAGGGCTCTTAATGCGCGAATTGTTCGGTAATAATTTCTTCCGTCTGATGTTCTCATTGGGTCAGCGCAAAGCTAAAGCCGTGGACTGGAAGAATGCGACGACAAAGCTATTCTTATCGTCTCTTTGTTGACCGGCAACCTATCTTAGCATGAGGATACAGAGTCTTGGTGGTGTACGCTGTACCTGGGCGGGCCAAAATAAGGTAAGGCTCGAGCGAACGCCGAGCTGTCCGCAAAGTCTTGACATGAGCGCTATCGCCGCTCAGGGGAATGATCACCGTCGCACAAAAACCGTCGTGTGTTAGCGCTGCAGAGAAATTTGGGACGGCAGCGTGCGCGTGGCCGCAATTTTTGTGGGTGTGCTGTCAGGGACCAACCAGGGCCAAACACTGCATGCTTGCCCTGGACGGGACTCGGGGCTGCCGCTTATGACGCTGGAACCCGCTATTTTCTTTATTTGTTGACGGATAGGCGTTGTGGGCTTGGCCAAACCTGGAGTAAGACGGAAAGATGTCGGCACTGCAAATTCTCGTGATCTCGAATGAAAGGCCGTTTCGTGGCTTGAGGGATGAGGAAAAAGTCCGTTCGCAGCGCGCTTCGGTTGGAGGCTGCCGATTTATCTCCCGGCGAATCAGGCGACCATGAGCTCGTTTAATGGCTAGCGGTGCGTTATTGGCGCATGGCTTTTCAATCGATCGCATGTGCAGCGCATGAGCAAAGTTCTGGCATCGCGGCTGACTTTCCTGGAACTGCCAAATGCGATGGTGTTCTCATTGGCGGGGCCAAAGACTTGGGCTGTGTGTGTATGGCAGCCAATCCTGTGGGAATCCAATACGAGGGCCGCCCCTGGGCAAGGTCTTGGGGGATGAACACATGATCGCCCAACGGATAACAGATCCCAGGCAGTTGGTAAACGTCCTATCGCATTGTGGCGCGCCGTCAGTTGTAAAGCGCATGGTGCCTGTTGGCTAGTTCGGCTGTAAGATCGAGCCTGATTAAACCCTGTTAGCACCAGCGATATGGGCACAGTCAGTATATAGACTCGGGGTGCCCCTCTGACCCTTGGCAGATACTCAGTCGTATCCTTCCGTCACTCGCTTTTACATTCGCGCGACTGCGTTTGCCATTCGTTACTCTTGTTGAAAGTCGCCGGTCATTCAGTACTACACCGTGTAACAATCGTGTAATACCTATAACCATCGCTCGGTACCAGAAGATCTACTACTCCCACGACACACCACATCTCAACAAAATGTCTCTGAAGTTCTTCTCCCTCGCTCTTGCGGCCGTCGCAACTGCGTCGCCATTCGATTCCATGGCGAAAGCCACGAACGACGACCCTTACGAGGCATGCCAGCCGCAAGGAGCGACAGGCGCAACCCCACCAACAGTCGGCACAGAGTTGAGCTCCCTCTATACCGATATTCTCTCGTCGATCCAGGGCATCTCTTTCGACAAGCGATCTGTACACGGACGTGCGGACGGTTTCGGTTGCCGTCAGAGCCTAGACTGCGTCAACGTGAAGAACATCAACATTCCCATGTGCTACGACAAGTTCACCACCAACTTCCAGTTCCCAGACGGATCTTACGGAAACGTCGCTGCCGGAACCTACAGCTCCGGCGGCACCGATGTCAACCTCGTCAGCGGAGATTACACAAAGGACGGCCAGAGCGCCAACATCTACGCGAACAACGAGGCTGAGAAGCCAAACACTTCGACCCTCTCGGTCCCTGCACAGTACACCGGTACTGGTGTTGGTGGAGCAGTCCCAGTCACAGAACTTGGAAAGGTCATCGTCTACACAACCACTGTCCCGGCCGTCACATACTCGGCGCCGACAACTGTCGCGGAGACTGTCGAGACGGCGACTGTCAGTGGAGTAGAGGTCAAAACCACCGTACCCGCTACCACTGTTACGCAAGCCACAACGATCGCCGCTAAGACCAACGTTGTGACACAAACTCCTGAAGCTTCCGATGCCTCGCCGCAATCTACTGGAGCCGCCGGACAAGTGTCTGTCGACACAACAAGATCCTTTGGAATGTCGGTGGTCGGTGCTTTGCTATACGCGCTTTTGTGAGCAGTTTGCTTTCGGGAGTCATACACGTCGCAGTCAGTGAACTGTTTGGATAGAATGGCCTCAGGAGTTGTATTCGAGGCAATCCCGAATGGATGATACCCGCTGGAGTCCTAGCACATGCATGTCGTATACATCCTGTGGCAGTCCAGTATTGATGCGCCACGCTTAATGAATAATATCGTACCCTTGATATGTTTGTCTTTTCTTTCTCTCAATTGAATTTCGACAACACATCCTTTATCTTTCTCACTTCCTCGGCGTCAGCATCTTCTCCAGGCATTGTGATGGCCGCGGAGTGAAACCATTCTATTTTGGTCCTCCTCTTGAGATGTTCAACGTTGGTACTTCTGACCCCACCGCCAGCAATCAATGAGACTTTTGGACGGCACACCTCTTGCAAGTAACGGAGAACACCAGTCCCTTCCTGCGCGGTCTTCTCTCCGCCACTTGTCAAGATGCTCTTGAAACCGCATTTTGCAACGGTCTCCACGGCTCTCTCTAAATCGCCTGTTTCGTCGATTGCACGATGAAACGTGCAAGGAAGCGGAGCAGAAATCTCGACCAGCTCGCGGGTACGAGCCTCGTCTACAAGTTGATTGGCGTCCAAGATGCCAAACACGAAGCCGCTAGCAACAGGCTTAAGCATCTCCAGCTCTTTTTTCATGAGCTCAAACTCTTCGTCGGAGTAGTTGAAGTTGCCTCCCCGTGGCCGGATCATAACATTGATCGGGATCGTGACTTCCTTCCGTACATCCTGCAGCGTGGTGAGGGAAGGCGTTACCCCGCCAGCTGCGTAGTCGGCACACAGCTCGATTCGATCAGCTCCGGCTTGAGCTGCTGCGATGGCCGAAGTAGCATTGAAGCAAGCTATCTCAAGCATTATCGTGTTTGTGGGACGGGAATTGGATGCGTGGGGTGAAAAGAGCAGGTGGGCTATGGTGCTAAGCTGGCAGCGGGCTAGTGCGACAAGTAGATTGGCTGACGACACGACTACGCTCACGATAGCATGAAAATCACACTGCCAAAATCTTGGTAATGAGATGAACCACAGGATTCATGCTGTCAAAATGCAAAAGAAAATAATAGACTCAAGCAGCAAGACCTAGCACTGCCTCTCAGAGCGCACATATAAAGCCGAGTTCACCATGATTAACTTCTGTGTTTAGAGGTCCACGCCGTCACCTCACCTCACCGTTCATTCCCCTATAAAGTACGAACGGGCTCACTTCATCGCAAACGCGACGTGAAGGTGAGTTCAAAGCTGCCGATTTCCCATCCCTCCGTGCCCTTAACTACCTCACCACCACCTCCTCTTGCTCTTGACCAAACCTTGCACACCACATCCACTTCTACGCCAGAGACGTATAACACCTTCACACAAGCTCCCGCAAAACCCATAAAATATCCCCAAGATGTCAGATACCGAGACCAAAACCCCCAACAAGACCGGCGCAAGCGGTGCCGTCTGGTCTGAAGGCGAGAAAGCATGTTCCCCCCACACCCCATCCAATCCCAATTGCTCCAGCTAAGCATACCACAGATCGCATACCTCATCATCCTCTGTGAGAACGAAGGCAAGATCGATGCAAAGATCGGTGTGAGTGCCCCTCCTTATTACACTACCTACCACTCACGAGCTACCACCTCAAACCCCAAATCCGCACTCATCAATGTATCCCAGAACTAACAACCCAACAGAACGCGCCCATCCCCGCCGGTCGCTCCATCATCTCCTGCAAGAAACTCCTCGTCCGCCTCAAGGAGAAGCACAAGGACGACATTACCAAGATCAAGAACGGCCAAGCCTTTGGTCCACCTCCTACTACTACCGACGCCACTCCCGAGAAACCCAAGGCCAAAGCCACACCCAAGAAGCGAAAGAGCAAGCTTGACCTTGACGCCAGCGCTGATGGCAACGGCGGTGATGGTGGTGAAGCAGAAGGTTCCCCGAAGAAGAAGGCTACGCCCCGGGGTCGCAAGAAGAAGGTTGAGGTCAAGGAGGAGGTTAAGGAAGAGGAGGGTCTTGTAGATGAGGAGATGCTGGAGGAGGAGGTTTGAGGGGTCTGGACCGTGCGCTACCTGGGTCTGCGTTGGGGATGTCTGTCAGCAGATATGAGATTGAGTGATCCACACGGCAAGCTCCACTAGGGGTGTAGGGAGTGTGAGAGGGACTGTCTCTTTTCATACTTTGGGGAAGGGACTGGATCTGGACTGGATTGGGGTTATGTATCACCCAAAGAGGGTCTCAAAGAGCACGTCTGGGAATGAATCCAGATGAATGAATACATGATTCTCTGTTACTTCTATCATCCGTACGCTACATCTTACACAGCTCACACCCATCCCTCTTCTCCAAAAAACCATCCTACTCCTCCCCCGCCTCAGCCTCCAACTCATCCGGCCCCATCTCCTCCCTCGCACCCCCATCCCCACACTCATGAATAATCTTCTTCCAGCCCAACGGTTGACTCGCATCCTTAACATGCTCAATAGTAGGGAAGTAGTGTTCATTCTTCTTCATCGTCGCAACCCACGGCACATTGTCAAACGTCATGACCTTCATGCGGAAGTACTCGTTATCCTTGATCTTCTTGATCTCAGTGAGGAACTCAGAGAGGTTGGGCGTGGGCACGTTGTTGACGTGAGTGACGAAGTTGGTGGGCGCGAGGCCGTACATGTAGGCTGGGGAGCCGCGGGCTCGTGACGAGATGTAGACGTCGGAGTGGATTTTGCTGATTTGTTGGCGCACGGCTTGGTGGGGGCGGTGGAAGGTGGCGCCGCAGAAGCTGACGAGGCGGTCGGTTTCGAGATCTTCGGTTGCGACGGTGGAGACTTTGATGGTCTTCTCCTCGCGCTTGCGAACGACGACGGCGTCGAGGAACTCGTTGTTGTACATGACGTCCAGATCGGGGGAGCGGGTGACGAGCTTGCCGTTGAGCGTGAGTAGGACATCACCTTCGTTGAGACCGTCGCCGTGGCCGGAGTCGACCTTGCGGACCATGAAGAGCTGGTGGCGCTCTGGGTCGGCTGTCTCGGTCTTCTCGATCCATTCCTCTGAGACACCCATGACGCGGGCTTGGCTCATTTGCACGGTCTGGAACTCGACGTTCAGGATACGTAGCTTGGGCGTGTTGCCGCCGCGGATCTCGTTGAGCACTGGCAGAAGGTTGGGTGTCGCAAGACCGAGGTGATACTCAACATCCTTTCCGCTGTGTGATGTCCGCTCACCCAGGTATGAAAGCCAGAGAGCCTGGACGGTGCCATCCTCCGCGACGAGCACACCAGAGCCACTATGCGAGGCTTGGTTGGTGTCTACGGTGATGGCGTCGAAGTTGGTCGCGCGGTATCTCGGTGTTATTGCGCTGGCTGGGATCGCGACTGTGGTGATATCAGTGACAACAGTCTTTGCTACGACAGGTCGGAAGTTCTGGTTGATGCCGAAGAAGATGGTCTCGGCTCCCTTCTTGATGAAGTCGGTAGCGAACTTGGGTGTCTTTACAGGGGCGTTGACAAGGGAAGCATCGTACTTGACGATGGCATAGTTTTGCAATGGGTGCATGAAGACAACCTTGGCATCGACGAAAATGCTGTCAGCGATGATCAAGGAGATGTCGCAAAGGTCATATGGCAGGATGGCTCGTGAGACGAGAACGAGACCCTGTTCAGCGTCGACAACAAGACCGTAACCCTGTTTGTTCATCTTAGGAAAGCCGTCTAGCTTAATGGGCATAGAGACATGAACGCGGACGAAGCTGCGGACGATGTCTACAGCCTCGGGATAGCTTGAGCTCATCTTGACGAAGTTCGCACGGCGAGGAACTGGGGGCACAGATGGAATGGCATCGGCGAGGGGCTTGAAGTCCCACAGGCCAGTTTCGTCATTACGTGTTGCTACCCGAATCTTTGCATGCCAATGCCTGTCGACAGAAGTAATACTAGTGTTCGCAGTGTGCAGATCGCGCAGATGCTTGTACATCATAACCACTCGCTTGCGATCGGGGATCTTCTTCATGACTTGGATGAAAGTGTCAAGGTCGGGTGTTGGCTGGTTGTCAACTTCCTGAATCAACCACCCTGATGTGTAGCCGTCAGCGAACCTAAAGGAGCCCGCTGCCTCGCAGACGTATACACCTGCGTTCTTGAGCGAGATAGCGTAAAGACGCGCTTGCTGGTACGAGAGGTCGTGGAAAGACGCGCCTGCGACGGAGACGAACTTGTCGGGGGTGATGGCATGTAGGTCGCCAACGTCTAGCTCGACGTCCATGTTCTCTCCAGCACGCTGTATGGTCACAGAGATGGTCTTGCCAACGTTGTCGTCAAGGATTGCATCGAGTCGGACGAACTGTGTAAGCAACTCTCCGTTGACGCGTAGGAGAAGATCACCTTCTTCGACCTTGGTAGATGCGGGCCCTTGAGGAAGGACAACCTCAGCTACGAGCATGCCTGTCTCCTTGGGAAATTGGGTGCGGATCTCCTTCTCCAGCTCAGGCGAGAGACCCAACCTCCGGCACTCGTCGAATGGCTTGAGTATCCACTGAGTCTGAATGGTGCCTCTGGTGACATGTTGGGCTTGGCGGATGAGCTCGAGAGCACGTAGCGGTCGGTCTAGCGGCAGGAAGTAGTCGGTCGCAGCACCGTCAGCACGTCCACCGGCCTGCAGCGCAACAGCAAATCCGTCGCGGTCCACGACAGGACTGCCAGAAGAACCTCCACTCGCTGCAGCTGCCGCCTGGATGTAGTTGGTGTTGAAGTCGGAGTAGCCCTCGCCGTATTCGGGCGCATTGCGATCCAGCCGACTGATGACACCCGACAAGATACTGAGCTTCTCTCCCGCATCGTTACCAACGACGCGAATCTCGACACCGACCTTGGCGTTATCGGGGCGCAGTTTGAGGGCGGTGACGGGCATGTACTTGATCTTCTTGGGGTCGAAGCGCAGGATACCGAAGTCGTGGACGGGGTCACGGTAGACGGGGTGGACGTCGCATTCCTCGTGGTTGTCGAATATGCAGTAGCCGATGAAGGGGCCGGCGCCGACAACGTGCCTGTTGGTGAGGATGTAGCCCTTCTCGGCGTCGACGACAAAGCCCGTCGCCTCTGAGCTGATGGCCGGGTCCGTGTCGAACGAACACGTCTGGCAGAAGTGTATCGACACGACGCTCTTGACCACGTTCTCTATCGTCCGCTGCCATTCTGCCGTGTCCTGCCCCGTGACGGCGGTGATGTGCGCCGACGACGGGAGGGCGTCGGGGGAGCTGTGGGCGCTGTACTCGCTGCGCGCATCGTCCATGGGCTCCTCCAGGTCGGGCGAGTGCGACATGACGCCGTTTGACGTGTGCGAATCTAATTCGGGCTTGATCTGCTTGTTTGGGCGGTCGGTTGCGGGCGAGGTTGGCGGTTGCTTGCGCTTGCTTGTGCCATTTTGTTCCATTGGCAGCGAAGTATTTATAGGCGGCGACGTGTGGAGGGAGCGTTTGCCGAGGGGGTGTGCGCTAGAGCTAGACAGCCTCGTGAGGTGCGGCGTGTGAAAGAGGGAGCGCGGGCGTGATGCGGACAACGGTAGGGTGCGTGAAGGTGTCGCAAGGAAGCTTCGTTTGCAGGCGGCGAGTGAGACTCGGCCAAGCAGCATGCCAATCGGGATGACGCGCGTAAACAAAGGAAGCAGGCGCGATGCGGCTGCTGTGAATTAAATGTAGTAGGCGCAAACAAGAAAGGCAAAAGGCAATTGATGAGCACAGAATGGCTTTCGATCGGCCAAGGATGAAAGTGCACGAAGAGCCCTGCAGCTGCATGCGCCACGGTCCCCGGTCCCTAGTGCCATCGCGAACGTCAGACTGCGCCCCGAAGGTGTTGAACCATCAACAAAGGTCGTCAGGTACAGGACAAATCAATTGTGAACTTTGAGGTAGACAATAAAGACGATGAGCTGATTCAACGGGTCAAAGAGAGTAGAGTATCTCTTCGTGAGGCTTGAAACTGCGCTGGCCGCATTCTAGAGGTGACATCATCCACCCGTCAATCGCGCATTGTTTCAGGAACGCATCTGCACCCGCATCAAAGACGTATCACTTGGTCATGGCTAGCTGTTCAATATCTGTTCAGTTGTTCAACATAAGAATGGAACCTTCCGCCGCATGTCACCTGTCAGGGTCTCGGTGTCAACCACCCACCTGTAGACGCATTGAACGGCCAACTCTCCGATGAAAGCCTTTTGACAGCACGTCGCAAATGAACCAACTAATACAGCCATCTCAACGTCCTCGTGTGATGATCGGTCGGCATCTAAAATCCTTTAATATGTTGAAGGCGTTCATACTTCGGGTTCGCAGAGTCACAAGTGGTTGGGATATTCTCGTTCGGGAGTGCCTCGTCGTATGACCATGACAGGCGTTGCAGAGTTTGAAAGTCGCTGGGCTCTCTGCGAACCGAATTCCCGATTGAGCGGAGCCTGTGACTGCCTCTAGAGTATTGCTAGTCGAAGTTGTTGTTCTGACGACGCGCCCAAGCTGCCCTTATTTGGTATCGTCTAAAGTGCTTGCGATATCTCTTGCTTGGGGGTGGTTTTGCGCACGCATTGCGGAAGATGTCAATGGCTCGGAGCTCTAGGCCGACAGGACCCAAACAAAATGGAGGATCTGAGTACGCTCAAGTGACTATTGGTTGCACTTCTCCCTCCGATGATATGCCGAACACCTCTAGGGTCTAGTCTGGTACTTGTAAGCCGGAAATGCTCGAGTATACTTGGGATATCTCTGGCTGGAATGCTCCCGCTCGAACCACGACCATGTTCCAATCTGAGCCAAAAGCGAAGTCTCTTCCTCGAGGCTGATTGATATGCAGACTCTGGTATCATGGATGACCTAAGGCCTTTCAGTTCCGGTCCAATCGTTTGAAAGGAAGTGACTATCTTTAGAGCATGAGTAATCAAGAATATACCTCAGTCCAGGAAAGGGCTGGACATCCACCTATAGCAGGTGATGGAAGTCAATGACCCAGGAGTCCACAGTGTGTCAGCAGTTTGCAGACTTTCGTCTCAGGACCGATGTAGGCTGCAGGGT